TACGTGCAGGCCCCACATTGTATATTGGGAGGGGGAGTGATGGGTGCAGCAGAGGAGGGAGAGGGAGACAAAGGGAGACAGGAAACAAAGTCAGGAAGGTTAGATGATGCTCAGAGCTTATAGACTGTCTTTCCCTTTGGATGATAGTTGGAGCCCCCAGGCAAATTATTAGCTCAGAACAATGAACTCACATTCAAAGTGAAATTGACTCGCAAAGGCCTGCACTTCCCTGGCAAAGTACAACTGGAGCAGCACCTGCAAGTTCTTCATCTCCTCTTTGCTGCAGTCTCCCTGGGACCATGACCTCAGAAAGAGGATGGTGCCCACGATACCATCCCAGGAGTGAGTCTGCAGCTTGCCCAGTGAGCCTAAGCCCTGGGTATGCGCCCAGCTGTTGTTGGCAAAGGAGGAGACCTGGAGCATGCAGAAGGAGAGGGGCTCTCCTGCTGCTGGACGATGGGATCCTAGAGCCTGGGGAGCTGAGAGAGAAGGGAATGGCAAGTGGAGAGAATGCAAAGGGATGGGAGATAAGATACCACAGGAAGAAGAGGAGCCCAGAGAGGAGAGGAAGGATGGAGATAGTTACATGTATTCCAGTACCACGTTTTCCCTCGACCAAATTCCTATCCCCAAAATCAAAGACAGAAACTGAAACTAGATGAGAATTCTGGGCCTGGAAGTAGCCTGGAAGGCAGATGCCAGGGGCACCCTAGAGCAGCACTGCTCTCTTTCTGAGGTACTCCCCAGGGCTTCCTCTCCACCCTCCTGTGCCCTACTCTAGGTATCCTCCCACCTAAGCTCTTCCTATCCACTGTGCTCTCCCCAGGGCAGCAAAGTTCCCTGAAGAGGAGGAGGAGCAGGAGCAGGAGCAGCACTGGAGCTCTGTTAGGGGAATGGTGTCTTGCCAGGACACCTTCCCTAGGAACTCAGACATCAGCACCCCTCCCCACACCCTCTCCCACTGTCTGCCCACTTCCCTTGCCACACAGGCAGACAAACCTCTCCCTCTGCCCACTTCCCTACAAGATAATCCCCACTGCCTCCCTTGCCCACAGCCTCCCACGGAGTCTCTCAGTTCCCCTTCATCTCTCCCACCATCTGGCTTCCAGGTTTTCTCCCTGCTCTTATCTACATCCTCCCAACCTCCTCTATTGCACTAAGTGCTGTAAAAGGAGTCCTGGCTTAGAACAAAGTCTGTGTTCTGGCCAAAATATGTAGTAGCTTTTGGCCTTGAAGAAATCAAATCCACACTTTGGTGGTCAATGTTCTTATTTGTGAGAAGTGATGGAAGTGACTTGGTGGTACCCACTCACCTGTCCACCAGTCTCCTTGCTCCTGTCTCTCTTTGGCCTTCCCCTCTACCTATCTGCCACCACGCCTCCTTTCTCCTTCTTCTTGGTCTTCCCTGCTTTAGTTGACTGACCCGGCATTTTTGCCTCTGTGTCTACTTTTGCTCTTCTCGCATGCCCTGCCTGTTCTACCTGTGCCCTCAATCTCTCCTCTGTTTCGTCACTCTGCTCTTCTCAAATCATTATCAGAAGATACTAGGCATCACGAGTGCAGCTAAAGAAATGCCCTTTTGCTCAGTTTCCTCAGCCAAACCACCTGTCACTGCAGATATGGTCCATGAGTGGACTTGCCATGGAGGTGGAAAGCTGGAGGGCAGGTAGATTTCACCCATGTTGTATGGACTGGTCTTCAGGGAGTACACAGGAGCCTTGGATCCCCACCCAATGACATGAGCATGTATAGAAGCCTGTGGGCCAGCTTCACCTTGGGAAGGAAGAGAGCAAGGGCAGCCATGAAGGTTCCCCATTACACTTCCTGGCCTGGAAGCACAGGTATTGAGTCTTTATTGTTGTTCCTTTTTTATGGACATTTGTCGTGATAGCCTGAAGGTGGTTGAAATACCATTCCTTTGTTTGACTTTCATGTATTTACTCAAATGACATGTACTCAGAGGCTATCTAGTTTCAAAAAATTACCAGACACTAAGAAAACATAACACAAAATCCAACCCAGTCCTCTACTTTTCTTTTAGAAAAGACTTACAGAAGAGTGGTCAGAATTATTGAAAAAGATCCAAACCCAGTATCATCTTAGTATTATTTATAAATTCAAGGGTTAAAGAAAGATCTTATAAAGTTTCGGACAAAAAAATAGTGGCTATGTACAAAGAAGAGGATGGCACTGGCTTCGGATGCCTCAAGTGTGATGCAGTGGAAAAATATTGCAGAATTTTGAGGTAAGGTCAGTGATCCTAAATTCTTTACTCAGGTAAATTATTGTGCTCCTAGAAGGGAAAAATTAATCCATATCTCAATATTCAACAACTCAAAAAAATATTCCATATAACAACAAACCAAAAATTAATT